GAGAATAATTGAAAGATTACTTTGCTTCTAGTTCTAAGCTGTTCTATTAATGAGCAATATAATGAATTCCATGGGAATTTGGATTTACTTCTAAGTATACCAAGAAGAGCATATTTTTGGAAGTTCAACATAAGAGACCAATATTTCATCTGAATCCACATGAAAAATAAAACTATGGCAACTGTTTATGTTACTCAGACCAAAATAAACTCTCAGCCAAATCCCCGCTACCATCATTATAGTCGTCACAATCAAGAGGAGCTCATAATGAAGCAAGAACAAAACAGATATATTTAGCTTTGAAATTGTTACAAATTCTTTTGCATGTTTTTTGTTTGTGAATAGCTTCTTATTCTATACAAAAATTCAGTTTTATTTAAAAGGGATATTTTTCATTTAGCTTCATCTAAAATTGAGGTAATTTACAAAATATTTGGGCTAAAATAAATCTTTAAATAGAAATATTTCAGCATCATCCAAGAAAGCAAGTCTACCAAGGTCTACTTAATTGTTTCAGCATTCCCCTAAAGTGGGCAGCATGTTCAAAAATTATCATAGTTATTAATAGATATTGACCAAAAGGTACTTGAAAATTGCTGTGTTAAATTAGTTTACCATGAAACTTCAGTGTTTTTAATAGTTACATATATGTTGTCAATTTATGCATTAATTATGCAGAAGGATGTGTTGAAATACAGACACAAGATAAGAGAGCATCCCAGGCAGAGGGAAAGTTATGAGCCAAGATGAGCATGTGGGAAAGCATAAGACAGCTTTTGAGATATTGTAGGGGAATTCTGCAGTTGTAGGAGATAAATCTGAAAATAGAGGCAAAAGCCAGATTGTGGAGGTTTCAAATGGCAGGCTAAGTAGTTAAGACTTTTTAAAAGTCAGTCATCAACCATCAAAGATTTACTCAGAGGGAAGTGATAGGATAAATGTAGTGGTTTGGGAAGAGTTACCTGTCAATTAATGGATAGGTTGATGTGGAGAGGGAAAATACTAGAGATAGGGAGTTCAGTTAGAAGACACTAGCAATGACTCAGAAATGAGAAAATTATGAATGCTAGAAATGAGAATGCAAAATAAATAATGAGAGCAAGATATACTGCAAAAAGAGAATGAGGGCAATGGAACATGGTTTCAAAGATTTCTTTCTTTTTTTTTTAAAAGATGTGGGGTACAATTCAGCATTAGGTATAAAATGTTCATTATGAAGGTACCCTTGTTGATTAGGTGTGCCCCTCCCTCCCCTGGCAGTTTCCCTAAACTGCCAATTTCTTTCTTATAGGTTTCAAAGATTTCTAAGAGATCTCCAGAAGAGTGATGGTGGCTTTGGAGACCATAGTGAATCGTTTATAGCTCCTTCAAAGATTATGCTTTGTAATTACACTGAGGCCTTGATAATAGGTTTTCTACCATATAAGGCCTACTATTTTTGACTACATGGTTAACTTCTAGTCATTCTTTAGTAATTCCAGTTCACTTGTCATCTCTTCTTTCTGAAATCAGTTTTGTGTGCTCTCTTTTAAGCGTCTTAAGTATAAAATTTCTATGAGGCCTACTGACTTGTTTGTCTTCTTAATTAGATCATTAGCTCTTGAAGTAGGGACCAAATTTGTTCATTTTGTATTTAACAATTATCATACTAGCACACAGTAGAAACTCAATCATTGTTTGATAAGTGAGAGAGCCCAGACACGTTAGAATGAGAGTAATTCCTAAAAAACAAACAAATAAACAGAAGTAGGCATATAGGTTATATAGAAGAATTGAAGAAAGGTTGCTTTCTCAACATGTTGACAATGCAATGGAAATAAGATTGAAGGAAATAATGAAAAAGGAAATTGATTAGGCAGGATTCCAGAGTACAATGAATGTTGTGGTGTGCAGACTTTGTGTGGAGAATTTACCCCTGGAAGTTCAATGTTTTCTACAGCTCTCAAAAGATATCTCATGTTCTTCAATGTCCTCATGTTAGCTTGTTATGTTTCCATTGTCAATAATATCATGTCATCTTGAATATTTATTTAAACATCTATCTGTGCATGTGTAAAGCACAAATCAAATGCTTTAGATCAAATTCCATGATCTTTCCCGTTCTTTTATTTCTTTAAATCCCCGGAAAAAAATTTCCTAGTATGCAGCCTAAAGACCACCTGCATAAAATCCCCCAGGGGACAATGTTTATAAGAAGTTTTTCTTTATAGACATATTCTACCTAATAAATGTACAACTATTAATGAATTAATGAGTTTAAAGAAACAATCATCAAGGGCTATGTGGTACTTAATGATGGATAGATCAATCTGATGATATTTGAGCTCATTTACCAAACTTAAGATTATAAAAAGAGAAACAGCCAGACATTATATGCCTTTCTATGGAAAGACACAATATACCCTCTAATATATTCTTGCCAAGAAAAAAATATAAATTTGAATTTGACAAATCTCTCTATATAACAACGAGTTCAGTGGAAATACAAAAAAATCAAATCAAATGTGGAAAGAAAACACTGAGTAGAATTCTGCAAAATCTTAAAAATAGGAAAGAGACTTTAATATATAAAATTTTCAAAGAGTTGGCAAACTTATAAATTGTAATTAACAGCCGGGCTTGGTGGCTCAGCCTGTAATCCCGCGTCTTTGGGAGGCTGAGGTGAGTGGATTGTCTGAGCCCACAGGTTCGAGACCTGCCTGGGCAACTTGGCGAGACCTCATCTCTACAATAAATCAAAAATTAGCCAGGTGTGGTAGCGCGCGCCTGTAGTTCCAGCTACTTGGAAGGCTGAGGCAGAAGGATCGCCGGAGCCCAGCAGGTCGAGGCTGCGGTGGCCGGGAGCGGCCCCTGCACTCCAGTCTGGGTGACAGAGTGAGACTCCAACTCAAAAAAAAAAAAAATTGTAATTAACATATACCAAAAGGAACTTAAAGACCCATCAACCAAAAAAGTGGATATTTGCGGATCCTGATTTCAAGAAACTCAAATTTACAAATTATTTAAGAGAAACTAAGGAAACAAGATCACTAATTGATATTTAATAACTTTTAGGTATGATAATGATTAAAGTATCAAGTAAAGTATAACTATACACCTTGAAATATTTTAGATAAAATGATGTGATTACCAGAATTTGCTTCAAAATAAGTAGCAGTGGTGAACACATTGAAGTACAGAATATTTGCAACCAGATGTAGAATGTCCTCACTGATAATATAGAAGCTGGGGGTGAATGGTAGCGGTATAAATGAAAGATTAATTACTGTTATATATGCTCCAAAATTTCCATTTAAAAAATTATCTTAAAATATGGTTTCTAGACCTTATATCAGAATTGTTGAATTAGAATATCTGAGGGAGATTCTGGGAATCTGAGTTAATAACAAGTTTTGATGGGAGTATTATGCACACCAGGATTTGCAAATCACAGTCCTAAAAAAATATATCCCATTATCTTGTTTGTCAGAGAAATGCAACCAACTATATACACGTCTTATCTTTAAGGACAGAAAATGTATCTTTATCAGCTGTGCATTTCCGAAGGACATGTATTTAGTATGTGCTTAATAACATATTAGTGATGTCTGACAAAATGTTCATTTTTGTTCACCCTGAATAAATACTTTAAAGACTGTATAGTGTGTACAAGACTTACCTATGTATTCCAATATGTCAGGTCCATTTGGCATAAGGGCATCAGGAATGTGTACCTTCTCACAACTTATGGCAATAATCATCTAGCCATGAGGATTTCTTTCTCATTAAAAATTAACAGTCTTAATTCCTAAATTGCTAAAATCTCAATGCCTCAACTAGCAAGTATAAAATTTGATAGAATGCGAACAACTTTCCTTTCACAGACAGATGGAAGTAGAGAATATTAGTCACTAGGTATAACCATTTGAGAAAATAAACTGCAATGTTTTCACCTGACATTACCCCTAGACTTTGCATTTTTGAATTTTTTGTTTGCAGTAATTCTTATTGTTCACAATAATTCAAAATATCAATTTTGACTCTCTCAGAAAAGTATGCTTAGGAAAATGTAAACTTTCATTGAGAATTGCTTTCCAAATACCAAGTATTTGCTATACCTCAGAATCCTTGAAAGGCATAGATTATAGTAGATTCCGTAATATAATCTACTATAGTTCTAGACAAGGGTTGTAAGTCTACCATTAATGTCATTAACTGGTTAGGTGATTTTAAATATGACATTAATGTTACTAGGTTCTTACTTCCCCATATATAGTTGACTCTTGAACAACATAGGTTGAAATTGCATGAGTCCACTTAATGGGGATTTTCTTCTACCTCTGCCACCACTGAGACACTGAGACAGCAAGACCAACTCCTATTCCTCCTCCTCCCTAGCATACTCATCATTAAAATAATGAGTGAGGACTTTTATAATGATCCACATCCACTTAATGAATAGTAAATATATTTCCTCTTCCTTGTGATTTTCTCAGTAACCTTTTTTTTTTCTCTAGCTTACTTAAGTGTAAGAAAGCAGCATATAACACATATGACATACAAAATATGAGCTGATGGACTGTTTATATTGTCAGTAAGATTTCTTTCTGTTCATCAGTAGGCTACAAGTAGGTACATTTGTGGGGAGTAAAAAGTTATATGTGGATTTTTTTATTGCACAAGGGTTTGACACTGATAATATAGAGGGTGGAGGTGAATAGTAGTGGTATAAATGAAAGATCAATTACTGTTCAAGGGTTAACTGTATGTAATACTAAAATAAATAAGAGAGCTACTCTATGATCATTTCTAAGTTCACCTCCAGTTTTATGGTACTTCTAGGAAAAAAATGACTCCAACTAACACTTAAACAGAAAACACAATCCTTCCAGGAAAAAAAAGACATAAAATGATATTATCTCAGAGTCTTAGATGATAATAAACAAGGTCAAATTCATAAAGTTCTGTCTTGAAGGTATAAATACAGAAACATGAAAGATTTATTTCCCACTGTGGCTTACCTGCTTATGAGCATGATCATAGGAATTAATATGATTGTCAAATTCCTGATGTTTGTGATACTGCTTGTCACATAATTCACAGTAAAAGTTTGCCTTTACGTCTTCCAGGGCCTTTGCTGTGGACTTCTCCTTTTCTGCAAAATCCTTTAAAAGAAGGCAAAAATTTGTTGATTATATTTCTCTCTGATACCATGACCAGGTCTCACATTAATCAAGATGTTATTTAATTTTACTGCGATTAAAAGATGCTGAAGTTCATTATTTTCTGGAAATTCATGACACTGAAAGTAATTTTTACTTTAGCATCATCCATAACTGTTCAATGTATTATGAGTTATCCCACAGAAATCCCCTGCTGAAGCCTAGTCCTTACTCATTCCTCTTTTGGTCACCCATTTTCAGGTTGTGGATCTGCCTATTACCAAGCACATCCTCTGGCCATTCCGATTTTATATCCTTCTAGACTCTTCTCCCTTTGATAATACCTCTTAATTTTTTTATGATCTATTCAATTCCATCTTCATCCAACTAATCTATACACGCCATACACTCTCCCAGGGTGCACCCACTTATGCTATAGCTAGAGCCTATGTATTATTCATAATCTCCAGCACTGCCTAAGGCTCTTCCACAAGCATTGGTTCCTACTAGCCAACACCAATTGATTTACTTCATGTTCTTCAAAACGATTCTCACAATTTTTAGGATGTTCAGTCTAAAGCAGTTTGGCTACATCATGTCCCTACTTAAAATCCTCATAAATTTTATCTTTGCCCAAAACTGTGCACCGGGTAGGTGAATTGTCATCAACCAGTGTTTAGAGAGGTCAAACATTCATGGTCACTAAGTTAAGTGGAAAGGGAATTTGAATTCACAAAACCTATGCCTAGGGTTCTTCTTAACCATAGGTGTGATTTACCATCTTCCTCTAAGGGTAGCTCTCTTAATATACCATAAAAGCTTTGTCTTACCTTGTCAGCATCATCTCCCATCAAATTCTGCTTCTATATTTTTTTCCTTAATTCTGTCACCAAATATGTCACATGGTATTAAAATATCTGTTTTCATGTCTATTGTTCCCAACTCTTTGAGCGAAGAAACTATCTTATTCAATTTTGTATCCACAATGCTAAACAACATATTCTCTAGCCCCAAATAGGTGCCTAATAATATGCATTATACAAATTAATGTATATTCATAGCTTATTTATACATGCCTTTTGCCATTCTACGAGTATAATAAAGAATGACTTGCATATAGAAAGCATCAAGTAAATATGTATAAAGAATAGGTTAGCAAATAAAAGAATGGATTTTCTTTGTTTCTTCAAAATGACTACCCTCAACAGAAAGAAATCATGACACAAGCACACATTATAGGTTCATAACTGGCCAGAAGAAAAAGGTAGTACAAAATTTTAGACAGATTTTCTTTCTTTCTTTTTTATCTATTTTAAAGATTTGGGGTATAATTCAGGGTTAGGTACATACGTGGGCATCGTACAGGTAAAGTTTGGGCATCCCTGTGGTTCCCACTGTACCTGTTTAGAGATTGGGTACTTTATGGATGTTATATGTCTGCTCCCATCCTCCCCTGGCAATGTCTATTACTGCCAATCACTTTCCTGTAGTATGATAAATGTTCAGGGTCCATTTATGAGTAAGTATGCAGTATTCAGATCTTTGTTTCTATGATAGAACAGTGAGTATTATGGATTCTAAATCCATCCAAGTCCCTGTGAAGTTCATGATTTTGTTTTTCTTTGTGGCTGCATAATATTCCATCATGTGTATGTACCACATTTTCTTTATCCAGTCCACTTTTTTTTTTT